CACCCTTCCGTTGCTCAATACGCGGTACCGGCCGCCTGAGGGAGGCTATAAGTTCGGAATGGATAATGAATACGCCACGACCTCCATTCTGGATGGCAGAGATGGGGCGGAACTTTTCAGGACACTGCAGCAGGAGGCCGGCGGCACACACGACGGAGACTTTGATAGAGAAGGAAAGGAAGATCCTGCCTCTTCTGGGTCTCTAGATGCACAAGTTCCATTCATTTCCGGGACTTATAAGACAATTACAGAGCACCTCAGTAAGGCATTATCTTGTTTCCCATCCAAGTTCGCTGGCCTGATGCTGTGCAGATGCCGGAGATCAACCAGATACGCATGCTACTATACAGTACGAGCCGCCATCATCATCTAGAGATGACTATACCCCACATATTCTCCACGCACGTCATGGAGAATGTCCCATGGTATTGGTAAACCGTGCGCCGAACGGGAATCCTGGAAATATCGCCAGTAATTTGCACAATGCACAGGATGCAGCCTGGCTTGCAGGGCTGAAATACGCCCAAAGGAAGGTTTTCATCCAAAGTCCGACTTTAAATGCAGTCCCTGTGGTTGAAGGCATCTTGAATGCAGTCAGGCGCGGCATCGAGTGCACATTGTATATAGACGTGGGTTTTAATGATGGTGGGGAAGCACTTCCTGGGCAGGGGGGCACGAATGAGGAAGTATCCAAAACGATGTTCGCACAGTTAATTGACGAGGAGCAAGAGAAACTCAAACTCTATTGGTATACAGGCATGTGCTTCTCCCGTGAGGGTGTCTTTCGGGTACTCACCTGTAATTATTTCAGGCAAGGATCAAATCAAGCCCATTAATGCGTCCGCGCAGAAACGGAACTGTCATGTTCGTCTTATTTCTTATGACGACACTAGCAGAATCCTTATCGAATTTCAGGTGAAACTAATGATCATTGACGATTCTGTTGGAATCGTAGGCAACGGTACCAAGGTAATGACTTGTTCTCACCCGATGGCCTACTCATTGATGCTCATCAAAATTTTCCAGACACGCAGTCTTGGTATCATAGTCAAGAGGTGAACGTTATGGTCGACAGCCCCACGGTATGTCGGGAATGGTTTGATGGCATACGGAGAAATCAGAACACGCATTTACATGAGGTGGCGAAAGATGGCATATACCGTGATATGAACGGAAACCCACTTACGGACTCTACTGGTGTTGGGTCAGGATTTCGAGGAATGGTCAAAGGGATCCAGGGGAGTATCGCGCGGGCTCGTGGCAAGGGTGGGTTTTAAGTACATCTTGGATATGAACAGCAAAGTGTACGACTCGTACACTGGTACAAGCGATCCTCCATACTAAGATATATCTGTACGCTACCTAGTGTCGAGTCAATCGAAAGCATGCATGAGTTGCGAACAGTTTAAAAGCGTTATAAAGACCCAGGGCTCTTCTGGAATCTGCTATTAGTAGTATGAAAACATGCAAGGTCACTCAAGGCAATATATAGATTAATTGACAATAAAATTCTCGAGGGCAGACGGACGGAAGAGCTCACAGGCGAATTACTTCCGCATTCCGAGCTAGGGTTACTCATCCATTTAATACACGTTCGATACAGCATGCCCGACGTGTGAGAGTGTCATATGATCTTCTTGTCCACATCCCCAGCGTAGCATACTGATCACAATACCGAGGCTAACTGTGTCTGGGCCAAGATTTGAAACATAGTTTCGAAGTCGAGGAAGCGCCCTACTCGGAACTTTAGTTTACCTTGGGCCGAAACTAATACTCATTTAGTGTGGACGCCGAAGGGAGTGGGAAGCTGGAGTTTAAGTATAGCTGGGGACCCGCATGGTGCTCGACATTCCACATAACACTGGATCATTGAGAAGGAAATGGACCCTTCTGAACTTTGCTAGTTCACTACCATGTCCACTGCAACCAATGTGACTCTCCCCGGGTACCATTCACCAACGTATACCGCTATCCTCAGGCTCACGAATACCGTTTAGCTTACAATGCGCGTCTAAACCCGAACCGGTCGCCGCGTGAATTTGTAAAGCAATCTAGAAATGGTGGCGTGAGTCTTCGTCTTGTCGGCCAAGATGACCAAGTCACGCTTCCTGTCTATGGTTATGGCGCCAGCGTGGAGGGTACCCTCGACATTCACAAACGAGATGGTATCACCAGCGTTGAAGTTCAAGTGAGCGGACTAGCCAGATGAATAGGGGTTTAGTCTGATACAAATTCCCCTAGATTGAAGGTACCCTCATGATGGAGGAATTGGCTGAAAGCGGGACGACAAACTGCAAATTGTTTTTCAACAAGACAATTCTGTGGGTCAAGGACAGAATTTACGAAGCGCCATGCCCGCGTTCACTCCCATTCAGTTTCCTTCTTCCAACCACCTTTTCGGACGGCGGAAAAACTTATGTATGTAAGCGGCGCGATGTTTGAACAGCATCTTGACCATCACGAGCATAGCCCCTCCCACCAAGCCACGAGGCCCACCTATCTGGCCTCCCTGGATTTCGGGCGAGGATTAATTATAGCATTAGCGCTATTGCCGTGAAACCAAACATCATACCGCATGCAGTTAAGTCGACCTTATTGGGGGGTGGAGATTGTGTGTGTTTCTATCTATGTCGAATCGTCTGAACCCCGTTTCACAGTTTACAGGTCAGTCTCCACTCCGTTTGAGTACCTTCCTCGCACTCGTCCATCTTCCCCATTACCGCCACCTCTAGTACCTGGTCAATGGGGAATAGTCGAGAACTCGCAATGGAAGGTCTTTCCGACACTGATTCACGCGAATCAGGGAGCACACGACATTATGGTAAAGGTTGGTCGATGCTGTGAATGAATGCATATATCAACCCTGATGGTTCCCGGGCGTCAGTTATATCTCCCAGCTAGTCGAACATTCTGCACACAAGAGTCCATTCCTTTCCACATCATGTTTTCATCTTCGGCAACGTCTCTTGCTGCGTTTATGCCTTTTGGACCGGTGGTAATCGCGTCTCTGAAAACGCAGCACACAAAAATACAGTTGTTGAGGCAGACGACTGTTGACGTTCGGTTTGTACTTCCTTTGTGACTCCGAGTCTGCTTGATACATTTTGATACATTCACTCGACAGTAATGCTTTGATACTTGGTACTCGCACCGACATTTGGAGAGTTGATTGTATCGGCGAAGGTGCCTTCAGACACGCAGTATGTCACGCAGTGCGCATGGAAAAGGATGCTAGATAATTGACGTGATTCTATAGGGTGACGGTGGTGCACTGGACTGCATTCTCAGGAGATATTTATATCAGTCCTGACATCAAGGTCGGAGGCTTCAGGGCGGGTGGTTTTTCCATCAAGGTAAGCACTTGCTCTACATCTCTGTTGAGGGCTTCAGCTAAGACACATTCATAAAGGATTGTATAGTCCTGACCATGACCCCGCCTGATCTCTCCAAATCGCCTTTCAAGGAACTGCGACTCACAGTTCCTGTCCAACTTGCAACGGATCCCTACCCAAGAGATGGATCTGGTATCGGATTCAGCGAACAACTTGAGGCTGGTCCTCCATCGATACCTTCCTCAGATGAATTTGGGGCTCCTTCAGAATCCAGTTACGGCTCATGATATCATGAATGACTATGATTTGTCGTTTACATATAGACTATCGACGCTATCGCAAGCCAAGTGTCTTGTCATTCTTGCGTCATACACTCTGTACACACGTACGTACGCGTTCTTGATGATCCACATGTACGTCGTGACCCGGTGTTGGTTTCCTCACATTTGCACAATTGAGTTCACTTGCAAGTGTGGCATAGGTCGAAACCTTGAGTGGCATGCCGCATCAAGAGGACCGAAAGCTGTGATCGTGAGCGAGCTGGCCTGGACTTTCACTGGAACCTGTCATGTCTATATTTGAAATGCGAGAAATTTAGAATCCTATCGCTAATAAAGAGGTTATAAAAACTATCGAGGGAATACGAAGTCTACATCTATCAATAACCAAAGAACCTAATACCAAATACTTCTCGTCCTGTGCACAGGCAAGATATCTTCCGTCTCAATCCCCTCAAGACACTCTTTCCCCCCCTGCAGCTTCTTAGCCAAATCCCAAAGGTAAAAATCGATCAAAACGCAGCTCGCTTCCCAATCCGATCCACACCTCACCATCTCACTCCGGATCCGTTCAACAGCAACGATGCTCGCTGCGCGCAAGCTCATTTCTTCTCTCGATCCAGATTCAAGTTGTGTGCCAGCGCACAGCTCGTGTTTGAGCGATTGGGGATAAGCGAGGATGCGCAGGTGGTGCAGGATCTGGGGACGCGGTAATCTGCGAACATCGTTAGGGAGCTGATGCATGCTCCGTTGAGGCCGGGGAAGATCGGGTGTGGGGTGTAGGGGCTTTCAGGGTAGAAGGCTGCCCAGGTCTCTGCTACTAGAATTTGAGACCGTTTCCAGAAATATACTGGTAAGCATAGACTCGTTAGTCTCGTGAAATTGAAAGACGCCATTTGGGTGTCATGATCAATATTGACTTGCCTCGTCGTCCATTGAACATTCGGTCATCTCTAAAACTCGGGAACGAGTCTGTGACGAATTGGACGAGGTCGAGCGCCGTGCCCTGATTCTCGTATCTTCTTTGGAAGGCTTGTAAAAACCCTAGGTATGAACCTCCAAATTCATCCTATACATTAATGTGCGTCCATAAACCATGCATAGATGCACACAGGGAAAAACTTACGTTACACAATATAGCACCGACTTCGCGCATGATCGCCAGGCGCTCATTAAGCAGAGGGATCGATTCAGAAGATTGCGGGGCGGGGCGGAATACGTGCGCGATCAGCGAGTCTGGGCATAGTGCCTCGGAGGAATAAAACTGGGGATCGATGATAGGTATACCCTCCTCTAACGCTAGTAGGTCCGATTCAGCCAGATTCAGACTCTCTAAATAACAAAACGAAAGATTTGCCCACCTCGATTCAAAGCAGCGACTAAGCTCCAGTATCCAGTGTGCACCGTCGTTGTCTGGCTATTCCAACTAGCCCGCCATTCAACGCCATACCGATCCAGCTGGCCTTCCTTTTCTGACCAAAAACTGAAATTCAAAGAAGAGATGAGGAATATCCAGTTCAGACATGCACCCGTGAGTATATCGTCTTGGTCATACGGTTCTGGCGGACAGATGTGCAAGGGGTTGCGTGCGCCATGTACGCGGAGGTATAGGGCTCTGAAGCGACTTTTTGCAGAATCTGCGTGGATCTGTCAGATACGCGACCGCTCCAGAATCATATAAAAGTTTGGATTGACATATTGTGTGGCTTTCTTGACCGCGTCGTCGTTGATTTTGACGATATTTGTTTGCTGATGTATCATTGATTAAAATGTGTTTCACTCAGACTACGTCTAGATGAAAATTTACCTCAAGGACAAACTCGGCGCTAGATATGACTGGGTTGGTTGTGTACATTTTTGAAGGTGGGGAAGACTCTTCGATAAGTTTTTCATCGAAGACAGGTGAAGTAGATGGCATGGAGAAACGTCGTAATGGTGGTTGTCCAAGTGGGGTTTTCAAGCGAGAGCGCGCTAATAAGCTTCGCGCCTTTAAGCGTTGCTTCCGTGGGTTTCTGCCCAAATGCTGAACACAGTAAGTAGTGACTGTCTCTGTATTTCAATTGAAAGGGGTTAGTAGAAATTGGAATTAGCCTTTTCACGGCGACAGCGCCACAAGGCGGCGTGCTTATCAATTGAAATTTGAGAATGCCGTCGATTCACATGTCGCCAATCTCGTTCGAATCACCCATTTCAAGGCAAGTCCATATGCTTGAACATTCGGGAGATCTCGTATACGGCTGATTATACTTGTGGCATGGGTAAATATGTTACCTCAAATGCCCTAATATACAATACCACATATGGTGACGGATGATGCAGTTCGAGTAATAGAGTACAGGGAAACCCACTGACACGACGAAGGTATTACTCTGCAATCGAACCTCGACGGCCTTTCACCGGAATGGTCTCTTCACCCCGCAAGACTTGTTCCCCGTGCTCCTTGACGTCTGATTTACCAAGTGCCTGTATACGAATAAACTATGAGAAGAGTACAAGATGAACAAGTGACTGACTGTTCCGCGGATGACCTGAGTGTAAGTTGACAATGTAATTAATGAGTAATGAGTATGAGTTACAATCGACGCGGATAATACCTTGGCATAACCTACCCGTATGTTAACTTTGCATGTTCGAAGTGTATGAGACACTCACCAAATACTTGTTCTTTGAAGGTGGGGGACCGTTTTATCTCTGCAGGGATCTCTACCACATTTATATTTGGGTCATTGCGATTCGACCTCAGAGGGCTTGCGAATCTGGTCTGCGGGAATATGAGTGCCATCACCAGGGTGAAGTGGAAGCTGCGTTTACTTGTTACTTTTAAGCGAGATTAATCGAATGAATAAAGTACCTACCTGTTGTGGTGCGGTGTCAATTTTGGTTGGTTCAACGTCCTTTGAAGGAGGACGGGGTGCATTGTCTTTGGTGGAAGAGGACATAATGATATGGTGGAGTGGAACTGAAAGTCGAGGCTTTATAGTAGAAATGACATCATCGATCATGATTATGTAAGGAACACGGTCAGCATTTAAACTAGTTTATCGTTACCTAGGTTGCGTTGCTCGACAACTTGCCTGAAGGCAATTACAGGCTTAGAGATTCGGGACGCTCTAAGATTACCGACACAACCTGCTATCCGACAAAAATGACGGGTCTTACACGGGCAGACATATGTACGACCTAGCAGTCGACATGATGGAATATGCGACTCGGAGTTTCGGGCCACCAGACGAGTGACCGCTGCGGGTAGATCTCTCGGCACCTGTATAGATAATAAATAAATAAACAAATACGAAGAATCAGTAAATGATAACAATCATAGGAAAACGAACGCACCAGGCTGCCACGTCACGGTTCGCCTGGCAATCAGTCGTCATACCACCGGCCTCCTACGATACCTTCCACAGTCCCGGCGCAGCCCTGAACTAGCAAACAAGATACGGAGATAGCACGCGTTCTTGTACGGCTTGCGATAACCACGGGTAGTGTTGGAAATGGCCGATGAGGAAAGTAATGTGCGCGATAATAGCGCGAGCTGGCGGGTCCAGAACAATCTGCGATACGATGACATCCGGGAGTTTTTTGAGGGGTGTGGCTTTAAAGTCACCGTCGAGAGGAATGCTTCAGGTGAAGTGTACAGCGCGTGGAGAACTCCAGTCGTAGATGCGAACAAGCAGAGCTGACCGCATTGAGCCGGAAAATATTGAAGGGGTAAAAGTTTCGCCCACAACATCACGAAGAATATCATCACGACGTGGATGACGAGATGAACAGCATTAGCTGTTGAAGTCGCGACAGACTCTCCATCGTTGCCAGCGAGGATTAGCCAAATCAGCGAGGACACCAAGCGCTCAAGCAATCGTTTTTGAGATAGCCTGCACACACAGGTCCTTGAGACATGCAAGAGGCAGCAAGGTAGACTTTTCCGCTCAACTGACCTGCACTTCGACCCTCAACATCAAATAGTTGGCGTAGACATAAATTTCCTATGCTGGCCTGAAAAGCCTCAAGTTCCTCTTGGGGTGAGCATACTGCAATTGTGGCTGATAAAATCTTCGCTAGTTCTGCTGTCTTTCATATTTCGGAAGTAGCCATTACTCTGACGATATATAGCCACAGATGACAGCGAGAATTTATGCTGTGCGGAAAGCAATACATAACTACCAAACTAAGAGAAGGTGTCAGCAATACTAAGACATCATACTTGGGAGACTCACAGTTGACTTGGCATCACTACGATTAGTTTGATACAGCGCAAGGAGAGCCGACCACAGAAAGGCATCAATGCCTTCATTTAGGGCTGGAGAAGAATGCAATTTAGTCGTGCGTTGTGGCCGCATATAAAAACCATGAGTGTGCTATGAGAACATGAGCCTGAAGCGTTTTTTTTGGCGCTAAGTTAGTTATCAAAGAAAGACGTCACACTTCGTCACACTTGAAAAGTTCGTATGGGATCGACATCTGACGCATCCAGGCATTCTTAAACCGTTATGGTGCTTCTTTCTATCACCCACAAACTCCTTCATGTCCAAACGCTGCGGCAAAGTTGTTTGTCTACTACTGCTCCAATAAGGCTTTTACATTCTACGGAACAGCACTCGCTTTCCCCGGTTTATGGACCATATTGTTGTATATCCTCGAAGATGGCATAGGCAACTCCGAGGATTTTTACACCGGCAGAGAACAGAAATAATGTCGCCCATACCATGCACCCAGCATTCAACGCTATGTCCCACAATTCCATCAACGTTTTTGAAACTGGATCCAAGGCATTTATTAGTGAGTCTTAGCTCGCACCGCGAGTCCCAATGCTCACTGCATTCTTGCTAAAGCATACTGTTTTGTCCGTTCAAGGCAAGATCGTGTACTTCATACATCACGACCATGGACGCTATATGATCTCAATACCATTGAAAAATACGAGGGAGCTCGCTACGAACAGAAGAGGCCAGGCTGAAGACATACATCACTCATCACAGTAGGCACCCGGGCGGGGAAGAGTCGAAGGAGGGTCTAGTCAAACGGAATTGAAGTTACAGCAAGCTTTGTCCATTCCGTTCATGAGTCGGAATTCAAGGGTTCTTGAGGCAGATTTCGTCATAATCCAGTAAGACGCACGCCAAACTTCGAATTTAAGCGTATGTTTGCCGGTACATCTTATTTGATACCCGACAAGATATGCGCCAATTTATAAATTTTGATGATGGACCGTATGATGGACCGCACAGTCAGACTCATCCGCAGACATGTACCAAACCTGTCCCAAGCTATCTATGACTACACAAGCTTCCACGGTACGTTACATTGGTCTTTCCCTCAGTCCGACAAGCATGGTTGACGTTCGATTCAGTCAACACGCGCGCCGGCACCTACTGGTCTGTCACCACTCAGTCATATACAAACCTTTTAGGAAAACTCCAGAAATGCAGACCCTCTCGAGCACCACGGCATGTAACCCATTCCAGAGGGTGTCTCGCATCCCTACGTTGCCTTGTTTGTTCTAAAATATCCGATCATTCGTATGGAAAGCCTAGGAAGATCGAGCTCACCTCCATCTATAGAGGTTTCCGATATCGCTGTTTTTAAATCTCAATTAGATAGGTAGGGAAGAGGGAATTGCTGTCGTTTCATCGTATTCTGATTGTTCATTGTAGTTCATGTCTTTATCGATGCTCTTGTTCAACATCAGTTGTGTAATCCTTGTGCTTTATCGTACGGACGAGTGAACAGTTCGAGGTGGAATTGATTCCCCGATGCAGGGAAATAGACGCCGTGTGTAATTGTTGTGTCATAAACCATACGAGCCCTCGCTTCGTATTTGTTTGTTCAACTTCGTTGTTATCTCTCGCTGCGATCTCGTTCTGTACCACAGTACAACTTTCATCATAAACCAGATCTTCAGGACGCACACTAAGATCTCCCCATGGCAACCATCAACGTTCAGACCCTCAGGGCAATGGTTAGACGATTTCGAGTTTTGATCATAGGAAGAGCAAACGCAGGCAAAACGTCCATTCTTCACAAGGTCTGCAATACCACGGATGAACCAGAAATTCACGATACCAAAGGACACAAGGTACGATGGATGATCTATGCGATGCACGGGTTTATCGCTGATCAATTGCGGATAGATCGATGCAGCCGTCGTGAAATCATCGATCAAGGTGCGTGCACCATTTTCCCTGCAGGCATTTATATGCTGACAGATGATCAGCGTGGAAATCACGACATCAGAAACGAGATGGTGTTCAAAAGTAATCCCGCTTTCGTCTTCCACGACTCATGCGGGTTCGAAGCGGGTTCTGAAGAAGAATTCGAGAACATGAAGAATTTCATCTCAGAACGGGCAAATGCGACGATGTTGGAGGAGCGACTCCATGCTATTTGGTAAGTGACTCCCTCCTGACGTTCAGCGCTTGTTGATTTCCATCAGGTATTGTATTCCAATGGACGAACATTGTCGAACCTTCCAACGGTCGGAGGAAAAATTCTTCTCCGAGTGCGACACGGGGCACAGCGAGTTTCCAGGTCTATTTTCCTATGCTTGTCTCGGACTAAATGATCCGTCTTCAGTTCCCGTACTTGTGATATTCACCAAATTCGAAGCTTTACGTCCAATCGCATTCGGAGAACTCAAGAAGGAACTGAAAGGGGCATCAGTAGGAGAATGCTTAAAAGGGATTCCTCAACGGGTCGAAGAATTGTTCATGAACACAGGTGTCTTGGATCGATTGTACGATCCTAAAAACTGTGTTCATCCTAAGTCCCATGTACGCTTGGAGAGTGAGTGATTCAGACTGACTCATGCCACATCAAAGTTGGTATGATTTCGCCATCCTAGATATGGACAAACCGAATACGAACTGCAACATTCTACTAGAAGACACCACTCTAGCATTGGACAACGAAGAATTGCAACTGTGCTTGATATCGACACAGCATTCGAACCTAGAGCTTTGCATCAAGTGTGCCGTCAAGTGAGTCGCACAGTTGCAGGTCAAATATTTTACTTCCAGCATCATCTAGATCACTCGCCAACCGTGCGCATCAGCAATCTGGGCCAATCGATTATGAAGTTGATCAGTATGACATTGCTAAGTGGTTTCCACATCTAAATGTAAGACGAAGATTGATTCAGTTTGACAATGCCCTGGTAACACTCATGAATGGTAAATATCGAAGTGCTGAAACTGTACAGTCTGATATTTATTCCTTGATTATAGTTGTACATCGTTAACAGCTGGTAAGATGGCAGTTTACGAAGGTCAAATAGCATGAATATTACTGATGGCTCGCTCCTATTTGCCTGTTGACAGTGGGTGAGTACCTTGATGGTTTGGAGTTCTCGACCTATGTTCATAATCCCCATCCATTGCTGCTACTCGCCTTTTTACAGGAAGTAAGTGCCTTGATGGTTTCGAGTCTTCGACGATGCTCATGATTCCTATCCCTTGCTGTTGCTCGCCTGTCGACAGGATGTGAGTGCCTTGATGGTTTCGAGTCCTCGACCGATGTTTATGATCTCCTTTCCTTGCTGCTGCTCGCCTGTTGACAGAAAGTAAGTGCCTTGATAGTTTTGAGTCCTCGACCGATGCTCATGATCCCTGTCCATTGACAGTGGGTAAGAGCCTTGATGGTTTTGACTCCTCGACCGATGCTCATGATCTCCATCCATTGCTGCTGCTCGCCTGTTGACAGGAAGTGAGTGTCTTGATGGTTTCAAGTCCTCTACCGATGCTCATTATATCCTTTCATTGCTGCTGCACGACTGTTGACAGCGGGTGAGCGCCTTGATGGTTTCAAGTCCCCTACCGATGCTCATGATCCCCATCCCTTGCTGCTGCTTGCCTGTTGACAGAATGTAAGTGCCTTTATAGTTTTGAGTCCTCGACCAATGCTCATGATCCCCGTCCACTCCCTGTTGACAGACAGTAAGTGCCTTGATGGTTTCGAGTGCCCTACCGATGCTCATGATCTCTATGCATTGCTGCTGCTCCCTGTTGACAGTTCGTAAGTGCCTTGATGGTTTCGGGTCCTCTACCTATACTCATGATCCCCATCCATTGCTGCTGCTCGCCTGTTGACAGGAAGTAAGTGCCTTGATGGCTTCGAGTCCTCGACCGATGCTCATGATTTCTGTCCATTGCTGCTGCTTTCCTGTTGATAGGAAGTAAGTGCCTTGATGCTTCTGAGTCCTCGCCAATCCTCATGATCCCCATTCATTGCTGCTGCTCACTTGTTGACAGCTCGTAAGTGCCTTGATGGTTTTGAGTCCTCGACCTATGCTCATGCCCCATCCATTGCTGCTGCTCCCCGGTCGAAAGGAAGTAAGTGCCTTGATGATTTTGAGTCCTCGACCAATGCTCATGATCTCCATTCATTGCTGCTGCTCGCCTGTTGACAGCATGCACGTTCCTTTATGCCTTCTAATCCTCGACTGATGCTGACAATCACTGCTGCTTACTTGTTGACAGCACGTGAGTGCCTTTATGCTCTCTAATTCTCGACTGATGCTGACAATCGTTACTGCTTACTTGTTGACAGCACGTGAGTGCCTTGCTTGTTTTCTGTTTATAATCCATGTGCAGAAGTCTTACATCTTTTTCTTGTTTGTTTGGCAGGTGGTATGTGTCTTGATCATATCTCGTATTGAAATAATACTGAATAGTTTGACTCGTGTCCATAGCCTCATGTGAGCATCTTCTATTCTATCAGACGAGTCGAATCACAATTGCTCATATGCATAGTTCGTTGAGTGCCCCTCCCTGATGGCTTATTTTTCATATTCACATATCTTGCATATTCTCTTGCCCTGTGCAGAATGTGAGTCGTTTTACCCTCATACTATGAAGCATTAAATGTGTTGACTGGTTCTTTCACTCTGTAGCGTGTGAGTATATTCCAATCGTTGAAGGATTCTATCCATATAATCTCTTGTATCTATGATGTGTTCGCAGAATGTGTGTAAATCATGTCTCATCTGGATCCTATATTACTCCACTGACAAACAGTCTTATTAAATCAGCTTGTACGTCCATAGATGGTACATCTTCACCGTCACATAGCGGATCTCATCTAGTTCCAACTCTTGACAGTTTGTAAGTTACCCATGCACACGTTTGATTGTTTACAACTGTCACGGTTCACCAACTAGAATGTGCGTCTCTGATATTAACCAAATGTCAATGTGTCACCTCGTGATTCTGACATTTCTTTCTCACAGCATGCAAGTACTTTTCTCTGTGAGGTTTTCCTGATACCCACATCTTCAACCTGTTGCCAGGGCGGGATCGAGAAAAGTGACATTATCCGCGTTCTTCAGCCTGTGGTAGGTTATTTTGCTCGCATCAATCCTCAGCGCTGTAAGACTGTGCAACAGGTTGCGAAGAGATCATTGTTTACTACTGCTACAAACGGAATCATCCATACTGGCATTGGTTAGTTTCCCGGCATATGATCAGTTTTAGTTCTTATAACAGGAAGCAGCTACTATTATCGTCCTTGAGTACTCTGCCTTTCTGCCGAACAATGCCAGCAACAAACTGGAGAGCGTCGAGTCTGCCGTGGACTATTACCTGAAATCTCCGACGGCCGTCGCGGTGGAGAAAGGAGCGAAAAAGATTTCTCGCTCAGGCTTCGAGAAAAAGGAACTAGGGATAAATATTCTTGACTTCATCCTTGAAAATCGCATGTGTACGTCCCTCGCTTCGTTGTGAAGTGACAATTCGAAATTCAACAACTACCCGCAGCAAAGGACTTGACAGCACAGAAGTAGATGATTCTCCAGCCAAGTTCACCACTTATTTCTGCAGTTTGCCCATGATATGCGTTCCCGTTGTGTACGATACCAAGCACGCCAGCTTCGATTATTGACCAGTGCGGACTGTGATGTTTCCTTATTTGCGATGCTCTTCCCTATGTTATGTACTATACTAATAGAAGCGAAAGCTTTTTGAATCCACACGTTCGTCTGAGTCGATGAGCCAAAGTGCCACGCCAGTGATCAGAGGTCGAGGGCAAGGCTTTTGACCACATGCTTGCCTTCGGGAACATCTTTGCAGACATCTGTGATACAATATAAACTTTGAACGCCCGAGAACCAGCACAGCAACCTTATGGTATTAGGCGTTTGGCTGCAGTTAAACTTTCAATTGAAATGATTTATTCTTTCCAATGCACCAAGTCGAATCACATTTATAAGCCGCACGCGCGCGATGAGTATGGAACGATATAATAGTGTCTTTCAGAGCCCGTTGCATGCAAGGAGCAAGAAGCTGATGGGCCAGCAAAGTCTTCCGTCCCCTTCCTTCATGACATGGATATGGGTATTTCGCATGCACAATGATAAGCTACAATCTCATTGAGCTATAAACACATATACACAAAGTACAAGGCAGCAAGCACGTATGTCAAACAGGTGCAACATTCATTGTGTGCTTGGGAACATGGTCCCATCACGAGTTACTCGCCGAGTCGGGTCGATGCATCTCACGAAGCGCAAAAAACCGTGACATCTTTTTCCGTACAGAAAGGGGCGCATCCCATTCCTTGAGATACTCCTTTATGTCCTGTGGAGTTGGTTTCTGTCCCCTGTGAGGCACTGATTAGTTATCAGGCAACTTCAAAATATCAACCATCTTACCCAGCTGACCTTGTGGCCAATTTTCGATCTGCACTCCTGTTTGTACCGCATCAGCACTTGCCATTAGGTCATCCAGCGTTAAACATGACATTACCATCCAGTTTGTACCACAATATTTTCTCGATCTCTCGAAGTAAGGTCCACGCCTCTGTATCCCTCACGGTAGGGACAAAGACATGTTCGCCGCTAGGGATAGTTTCCGCTAGGTCACCTCGGCCAAAGAGTAGTAGCCAACGTTGGCGACGGGCTGCCCGATCGAGATCGGGGAATTCGATGGCTGCAACAGGGAAAAGTAAGTGATGCAGTCAGGCCAAATAGCCAGGGTACGCACTGTCGGTGAGCGGCCCGAATATTGCCTGCTGAGCGTCTGACAACACTGCAGGCCACAAACAGATACATCCGGGCGACTCAAACTGTTGAATCATCATCTCGACGCGGTTCTGATGATGAATTAGCTATACTAGAACAGCATCAAGGGTACAACGATCAAGAACGTACTTGAAATTTCATGAATGACTGTGGGACGCATCATCAGAAGGGATATAATGGAAGCTTTAAAAGACGATACGTACATCTCCACGGTCTACGACCAACACCGCATTCCATCTGATCGCAAGCTAAGCAACCACCACGTCGCGTCAGGGATGTATCGCGTGCTGCATATGGTACATACCGATGCTAGTTTGGCGGCCCAAGGTTGCACGTCGGCAAGGTCTGGGATATCACTGGCCCAAATGGGGAGCATCGGGCGCTTGAGTATGTTGCAGACAGCATGAACAACCGTCTTTTTCCCCGTTCCCGGAGCTCCTTTCAGCAGGACATTCTACAAAGGGTAAATGTAAACGAGAGTGATGCAGGAATGTTCCTTCAAAACACACCAGGCCTTTCCAAACTTTCACTGAACGTGGAATGCCAGGAAAACATCCAATAGCATTCAATACGGATTGCATGAGATTCTGTAACAAACGCGTTAGATTGCGAGACAATGTTCCGAGAATTACTCCCGCCCGTACCTTAGTCTGTTGGTCCTTGACCAGCTTGCTCCACGCATGTTGATCGTAATCAAATTCATCGCAATACAAACCCTGTAATGTAATCCATCCCTGGACACCAAAGTTGGTTTGAAGATCAGTAAAAACGTACAACGTACTTACGTGTTTCTCAATGTCATATCCTGCAATCCAGGACAGTCTGTTGACCGCGAGTGTCTCCATGTCTTCCAAGAGCAGCTTTGGAAAGTCGACTGTGTGGGGGGAAAGGAAGGACATGTTTGATTGAGGTAGATGAGGAAGACTTGATTTGAGCAGATGGGAAAGGTTTGGCGTCGGTATCAGGGAAA